GGCACGATCATCAGCATAGATGAAACTCTCTGTCCCTTCTGGCAGTGGCTTGTCATTTGTGTAGATGTTGAACATGGATGGAGCAAGCATACTCCTCTGAGGCAGGCCGTTCTTCTGTTTCCGCCATCTGCTTCTCTGGCCCTGGAACTCAACAAAAAAGCTCCTGTTTTGTAGCAGGTTTCCTATGAGGCGGGTGAGGTGGTAGTCCTTTGTGATATTGTACATTTTTTATTTTAATGTTCGTGGTTTTAATTGTTATTTTTGCTATTTGTACTATATGAAGCGGCATTGAATTGTTGCCAATTGTAAGCCGCCCTGAGTCCCCGTAGGGGTTGAGAAAGGCGGGGTAAAAATGTTCGAAATAAATAAATAAATAAATAGCCCCTTTTTGTCCCAGTGGCCCACGGTCTCTTAAAGGTTGGGAACCACTGCTCTAAATGTATAGTTTTAGTTCGTTATTGTGTTCTTTTTGTACTTGTGTACAATAAAAAAGTACATATTTCAGGTTTGAAGATAGAAGGAGATGCCCTTAAGGACATTTTCACACTGGTTGATAATTTGATTTTATCTATTGCTGTGCAGATTTCCCAAAGGAGCGCTGCTTATGTCCTCCACCTTGGAAAAAGGTCACTTTTCTCACTGCCTGCCAGCAGAATGGCCAGAGAACACTGGATTCTTTTTTTCCGTTCTGGAGAAGCTGTGATTTGGGTGCAGATCAGGTCTAACAATGTCACTGACCTCTGATTGAAATCTATCAAGGATGTAACTGTCCTCTTGACCCCCCGTGGCTTCTTCATCATGAAACCTGTGCGCCTGTTATTCCACAGCAGAAGGGAGGGGACTCGGGAGAGGCAGCTCCCCACCTTCCTGCAAGCGGCTGTCTGAAAATGGCTCCCGGGGATCCATTTAAACGCTTAACGGTCTGGGCTGTGCAGCTTACGAAATGGGGTCATGTCTTCCGAGTATTGTTTTTAAGCTAGATCCCCTGTGCAATTGTCTGGTGGCAAAGGCTATCTCCAAAACCTTGCTTGGCACAAATAGCCTTAAATGAACCGGCCGGCGGGGAGCAAAGACTTGCCTGCCTTCTTCCCATCCGAGATGCTGCAGAGGAAATCACCCATAAACAGGGCTCCTGTCCAAGCAGACTGCGTCATATTGATCCACCAGGATATTTGATAGGGAAGAAATCCTCTTTAACATCCACTCCGCTCTAAAGCGTTTCTCTGGGCAGCACGGATAATAATTCAGCAGAATGACTGGCTCCAAAGGCCTCAATAATGTTTTCTGGCCACAGTCTTGAGAATCCTTAAATCTGACCTATGCTTTGGATATGTATCAAATTTCAGAATTTGAAATTTTATGACACTGCATAAGTCTATATATATATAAATGCTCAGTGCATAATGAGTTCCTTAAAAACAAAAGAACCAATGAATGAAATCACACCAAATTTGGCAGCAAAATGTCTCACAACACAAGGAGTGACCATCACTCAAAAAATTATAATTTTGTAATTTGGGAGTTGTAGTTCCTGGAATTTATAGTTCACCTACAATCAAAGAGCATTCTGAACTCCATCAATGATGGAATTGAACCAAACTTGGCACACAGAACTCCCATGACCAACAGAAAATACTGGAAGGGTTTGGTGGTCATTGACCTTGAGTTTGGGAGTTGTAGTTCACCTACATCCAGAGAGCACTGTGGACTCAAGCAATGATAGATCTGGACCAAAATTGGCATGAATACTCAATATGCCCAAATATGAACACAGATGGAGTTTGGCTGAAGTAGACCTTGACATTTGGGAGTTGTAATCACTGGGATTTACAGTTCACCTACAATCAAAGGGCATTCTGAACCCCACCAACGACAGAATTGGGGCAAACCCCCATGATTAACAGAAAATACTTAAGGCCATCCAATCCAACTCCCTTCATCAGGGCAAGAAAATGTAAATAAAGTCCTCCTGACAAAGAGCCATCCAGCTATAGATATAGATAGATGGATAGATAGATAGAAAGATATGATTCACACACACACAGATATAGTATCATAGGTTTGAAAGGGGCCCTTAAAGAAGGGCAATAATATGTTCCATGTTCCAGAGTAGGCAAGCCAGATAATCTCCACAGCAACACTGACAAAGAAACAACAAGACGTATTCTTTACCCACAAGCATAAAGAAATTACATATATTAAAAACCAACACTTTCTCATTCCCTTTATTTTCCAGATCAACAGACTGGGCCACAGCAACGCGTGGCAGGGGAAAGCTAGTTAAATATATGCGCATTCTTTGTATTGGTGGTTTTTAGAGGTACTGAATAAAGAGCCGTGTGTCTTCTATACTGTTTGCTTTCGAAGGGGACCAAGGTTCAGCAGCCACCATTACTGTTATTGTTATTATGTTGTTGAAGGCTTTCATGGCTGGAATCACTGGGTTGTTGTGAGTTTTCCAGGCTGTATGGCCATGTTCCAGATGCATTCACTCCAAACGTTTTGCCCACATCTCTGCATCTCGTGGTGCCAGAATACAGACTGTTTAGCGCCTTCCAAGCTGCCCAGTTTTCTGTGTGCCCAAGAGGGAGTCTCTCATTTGGTATCCACCATGGATTGAGGTTAAATAATAATAATAATAATAATAATAATAATAATAATAATAATCTTTTATTTATACCCCGCTACCATCTCCCTAAGGACTTGGTGCGGCTTACAAGAGGCCGAGCCCAAATACATCAGTAAAAAACAGCAACAACAGCAATATAGACAATAAATAAACTCATAAACAAAGCAATAAACAGTAATAATAACGCCACGACGCATTAAAAACCTATGGCAGGGCCAAATGTAATAATTAAAATTTTAAAATGCTGGGCACGACAAGGTGACATATAACTAGGATAGGTATTTGGAGAGAGATGGAGCGAGCAGACAATCCTAGATCATGGGTTCTGGGTTTTAACCTGCCATTTTTGGACTCTCGTTTGCTGAGGTGTTCCTGCGAGTATCTCTGTAGATCTTAGAAAACTATTGCTTAAGGTGTTGGCGTGCTGGCTGATATCCGAACAGGAGATGGGCTGGAGATGTTGTCTTGGGCCTTTCATTGCTGGCTGCTGCTTCACGGCAAATTTCTGGTGGTGGAATACCAGTTAAACAGTATAATTTCTCCAGTGGTGTGGGGCGTACACATCCTGTGATAGTGCGGCATGTCTCATTAAGAGCCACATCCACTGTTTTAGCGTGGCGAGATGTGTTCCACACTGGGCATGCATATTCAGCAGCAGTGTGGCAAAACACTAGTGTAGATGCCTTCACTGTGTTTGCTTGTGATCCTCAGATTGTGCCAGTCAGCTTTCGTATGATATTATTACTAGCACCCACTTTTTGCTTGATAGTCAAGCAGTGCTTCTTGTAAGTCAGAGCACAGTCCAGAGTGACTCCCAGGTATTTTGGTGTGTTGCAATGCTCCAGTGGGATTCCTTCCCAGGTCATCCTCAGAGCTCGAGATGCTTGTCAGCTCTTAAGATGAAAAGCACATATCTGTGTTATAGATGGTAGGCCTGGGTAACAACGGAAAAATTTGTTTCTAAACTCGCTTCGTTTTTAGGGGTCCATCGCGTTTCGTTTTTTTTAAGAATTCTGAAATTTCGCTTTTAAAATTTTTGAAATTTACGAAATTTTGTATAATTACGAATCGATTCGTTAATGGCGGACGCGATTGCGCAATATGCTAAAAAAGACCTCCAAATGGGACAGGGGGAACTTCTGAAGCTTTCCTCTCCCTCTGTTGTTGACTGTTCGTGTGATAAAACAAACAACAACTATAAAACTTGCACCAGACATGCAAAAATAATTACGAAATAATTTCGAAATAATTACGAAATAATAACGAAATAATTACGAAATAAATTGAAAAAATTGTTTCAAATCTAATTTACTCCTCACACTATTCCTGCATGGCTCAATATTGGATCGTAAGCTAATTTAAATACGAATTAATAACGAATTACGAAATTAACGAACGAAACCGCCGAAGCCTAATAGATGGATTAGAAATCAGCTGGTTTTCCCTGTAATAGGCAGCAAGAGCACCTAAAGCTTTGGAGAGCTTCAACCATTTCAAAGCTCCCTGCTTGGGAGGTGATGGCACGATCATCAGCATATATTAAACATTCTGTCCCTTTGTGTAAATGTTAAACATTGATGGAGCAAGCACACTCCCCTGAGGCAGGCTGTTCTTCAGTTTTCGCCATCTGCTTCTCTGGCCCTTGAACTCAACAAAAAAGCTCCTGTTTTGTAGCCGATTTCCTATGTAGTGGGTGAAGTGGTAGTCCTTTGTGATATTATAAGTTTTTCCTCAGAAGAAGGTGATGATTTACAGTACCAGTATAAGCTGCTGACAGGTCTATGAATACTTGACTGGTTTTTTTTTTTTTAAAGGGATTTCTGATATTACTCTTCAACCATATGGGGCTCTTGGAACATCTTATAAAATTTGTTGCTCAAGATTATAGTCAGAAAGAAAACAATACAAAAGGAAAAGGATTTGCAGATAGAAGAAAAACAGATAAATCAATAAGCGGAGACATCAGTTCTTAGCTACATGGGTTACTAGGAATATCATGTAGGGAGAAAAGGCAGCTGCTATCTTTATTCTGCCTTAAAGTCTCCTACGAATGACAGCATGTTATCCGCCCAGCTGTACTCAAGGGGATATACACAGTGCCATCTTCAACATGAATGGCAGGCGCTGTACCTTTAAGCTGTTCCAGCAGTTATTTCTTTTAAGAAACACTTCACCTAGAACCACTTTGTCAAACATCTGACAAGAGTGTAGATTTTGAAATTCAATTTGCACTGGGTTCCAAGGAGCACACAAGTCAGATTGAGTTCACCTTGGGGACTTTGAAATGCCTCGCCTCCATCTCCAGGGTTGGGTCAAGCTTTCATATTTCCAATAGATTTCCCTTGCAAAGAGAAGTTCCCAGGTCACTTACGTCCTTTGGGGGAGGCTGAGCTTTCGGAACTTGGGATACTTGTGCTCTCTCCTTCCAAGATGGCCTTCTCCCGCTTCTCCTTCTCTACAATGAGAAAAATGAGAATGTTTTTTTCCTACTGCAGAAGACAAACAGTGCATTTCATGGAAGAGATCACGATAACAATAATAATAATAATAAGAAGAAGAATAAGAAGAATAAGAAGCAGCAGCAGCAGCAGCAGCTAGTAAAGGTGGTTCCAGTGGTGATCGGCACACTGGGTGCAGTGCCTAAAGACCTTGGCCTGCACTTAAAAACAATTGGCGCTGACAAATTTACCATCTGTCAGCTGCAAAAGGCCACCCTACTCAGATCTGCACACATTATTAGCTGATACCTCACACAGTCCTAGAGACTTGGGAAGAGACTACAAAAGTCATCATAGTGATCCTGTTTGCAGTGTACTAATCTTGTTATGTATCAAATAATAATAAACTATATAAATAAAAATGTAATGTTCGTTTGTGATACCATCAGAACTCAAAAGCCACTGGGGGAATTGACACCAAATTTGGAGACAAGACACCTAACAACCCAATGTATGTCCTCCGCTCAAAAAAAATTGATTTTGTCATTTGGGAATTGTCGTTGCTGGGATTTATAGTTTACCAACAATCAAAGAGCATACTGAACTCCACCAATGATGGAATTGGGCCAAACTTAGCACACAGGGCTCCCATGACCAACAGAAAAAACTGGAAGGGTTTGGTGGGCACTGACCTTGAGTTTGGGAGTTGTAGTTCACCCACATCCAGAGAGCACTGTGGATTCAATAAATGATGGATCTGGACCAAACTTGGCACAAGCACTCAATATGCCCAAATATGAACACAGATGGAGTTTGGGGGAAATAGACCTTGACATTTGGGATTTGTAGTCACTGGGATTCACAGTTCACCTATAATCAAAGAGCATTCTGAACCCCACGAACGACAGAATTGGGGCAAACTTCCCACACAAAACCCCCATGACCAACAGAAAATACTTAAGGCCATCCAGTCCAACTCCCTTCATCAGGGCAAGAAAGTGTAATCAAAGCCCTCCTGACAAAGAGCCATCCAGCCATAGATGTAGATAGATATATATGATTCACACACACAGATATAGATCCTAGATTTGAAAGGGACCCTTAAAGAAGGACAATGATATGTTGCATGTTCCAGGGTGGGCAAACCAGACACTCTCCACATCAACACTGACAAAGGAACAGCAAGAAATACTGTTTACCCACAAGCACAAAGAAATTACATATATTAGAAACCAACACTTTCTCATTACTTTATTTTCCAGATCACCAGACTGAGCCACAGCAACGCGTGGCAGGGGACAGCTAGTAGTAGTAGTAATAATAATAATAATAATAATAATAATAATAATAATAATTATCATCATCAGCCAGTAAAGGTGGTGCCAGTGGTGATCGGCACACTGGATGCAGTGCCTAAAGACCTTGGCCTGCACTTAAAAACAATTGGTGCTGACAAATTTACCATCTGTCAGCTGCAAAAGGCCACTCTACTCAGATCTGCACACATTATTTGCTGATCCATCACGCAGTCCTAAAGACTTGGGAAGTGTCCAGTGTGTGATCAAATACAAAAGCCAGCATAGTGATCTTGTTTGCTGTGTACTAATCTTGTTATGTATCGAATAATAATGATAATGATAATGATAATGATAATGATAATAATAATAATAATAATAATAGAACTTTATTTATACCCCACTCTCAGGGACTCAGGGAGGTTACCAAAGTATTTAAAAATTGGCAAACATTCAATGGCAGGAGGACATAAACAACAGTCATAATGGAACATGAAATAAACTAAACTAAATATAACTTATAAACAGCAGAACTTAAACCAAGGATAAGGTAAATATCAGTTAAAACACAATGCATTAATACATTCAAAGCCTAAAAATTATATCACAATAATGGTCTGAAGTGGGTATTAGGTGTCTAGGTGAGAATGTGTGTAGAACTAAAGGAGAACTGGATCAAGATGTCATATAGATGGTATATGACTCCACAGAAATTAGGAAAATGTTATAAAAACATAAACACAAAATGTTGGAAATGTGGGAAGGAAGGATCATGTGGCACAGCTGGCTGGGAATGTGGCACAGCTGGCTGGGTGTCAGCTGCATTAAAATCACTACTGACCGAAAGGTCATGAATTCGCAGCCAGCCTGGGTTGGAGTGAGCTTCTGGCCAATTGTGTAGCTTGTTGTCAACCTTTGCAACCCGAAAGACAGTTGCATCTGTCAAGTAGGAAATTTAGGTACCACCTCTGTGTGGGGAGGCTAATTTAACAAATTTACGAGGTCATAAAAAATCTCCAGCAAAAAGCATGCAGGGAATGTGGAAAGTACTTCAACAGTGTCACAGATGGACGGTGAAGCGACAGCTCCCCTGGTGACCAGAAAATTGGAATGTTGAATAGCCTCTGACTGTCTGTCTATATGTGTTGTGTGTCTATGGCATTGAGTGTTTGCCATGTATGTGTACATTGTAATCCGCCCTGAGTCCCCTGAGGGGTGAGAAGGGCGGAATAGAAGTACTGTAAACAAACAAACAAACAAAAAAACAAACAAATAAAGCTTTCTTACAAGTGACTGTAAGCCTCCAAAGAAGGCAAACTCCGGAGCAGAGAGTTCCACTCCTGAACAGCTCTCACCTGAAAATGTGAAAGAACTTCCTGACTGTGAGTGGAACTCTCTCTCTGCCCTGCAGTGTGGTGGAGGCTCCTTCTTTGGAGGTTTTAAACAGAGGCTGGATGGCCATCTGTCAGGAGTGCTTTGAATGCGATTTTCCTGCTTCTTGGGAGGGGGTTAGACTGGCTAGCCCACAAGGTCTCTTGCAACTCTATGATTCTATAAGTGCCACTAGATAGGAATTAAAATGATCCAGTATCAAGTATAGTCAGCCATGAAAAATCCTCAGATTCTGCATCCATTGATTCAAATTAAAATCATGGTTTTGGGACCAGGCCTTCGGGAAGTAGAAGTAAATGTATGCAGCATTTCGGAAAGACAATGACTGGAACGGCGATTTGATGGACGAGCCTGTTTTATTGTTTTAATGATTGTTTTATTGATCATGGATGTATTTTTTAATTTGATTTATGTCTAATTGTAGTATATAATTGTAATTGTTTGTACTGGCATTGAATTTTTGCCATTACTTATGTGTAAACCGCTTTGAGTCCCCCTCGGGGTGAGAAAAGCGGTATACAAATACTGTAAATAAAAATAAATAACAAACAACTATAGCTTGATAATATATTATAAAAATTCCAAAAAGCAACATTTTTTTCTACCTTTTCATATCAAAGATGTCATTTTAGTACACATTCTATTTAATGGGGCTTGAATACCTATGAATTTTAGTATCCACATGAAGTCATGGAACCTAAATCCCCAGATACCAAGGACTCAGTGTATAAGAATGGTTTAAAAAGGGGAAACAAGCTGGGACTACCAAGAACCACTCCCAGCAATGTATTTCAATTTTACATGGAGAGTAAAGTACTAATAGCAAAATGTAAATTTTGCAAGATACCCAGGAAATTATACTTTTTGAACTACATTTATTTATCATGTCAGGAGCGGACCAAAACGGTTTTATTGCATTAAAAACAAACAAACAAACAAAACACAAAGTTTGCAGACTTGGTATTCTATTAAATGTCCTTTGACCAGTAGCTAGCCACTTGGAGTGCCTCTGGTGTTGCTGCAAGAAGGTCCTCCATTGTGCATGTGGCAAGGCTCAGGTTGCATTGGAGTAGGTGGTCTGTGGTTTGCTCTTCTCCACACTCGCATGTCACATGTTTGAGCTACAGCTGAGCTTTTGGTATTTGATAGTGTATGGTTTCAGGACTCCAATAGATACCAGAATCTCTGGCAACTCAAGTCCCATTATATGCAACTGCATAACAAAATGATGTCCCTTTTATACAATTATAAAAGGAAAGTTTGCTTTAAGGAATTTTGTTTGGCAGAGGAATAATATTTTCAGGCCGTAAACATTCGAATCCATGGATGCGGAATCTGGGGAAACAGAGAGCCAACTGTACACTTTCCAGAATCCCGTAGCCAATGGGAAATTCTGGGAAATATACAGCTGGTTCTTCACAATCACAGGTTTAACTTTTGTAGGCTTGATTACATTTGGATCGAATTAAAATGCTCCCTCTGAGAAGCTGTAAGTTCCTCAGTGGGATTCTATAGCTAGTTTCCAGCAGAAGTTGACCAAAGAGTTGTGTTGGAAGATCTGGAAATTCCCAAAGAGGCATTTTCTCAAGTAAGAAAAAAATGGCAATTTCTTTAATCACAAATGTTCACTTTCATGGGGATCCTGTGCCCCTAACTCTTTGGTTCTCAACCTTCTGAATGCTGCAGCCCCTTAATACAGTTCCTCACATTCGGGTGTCCCCCCCAACCATAACATTATTTTTGTTGCTATTTCGTAACTGTAATTTTGCCACTGTACCAACCCAGGCCCTTCGATCTTCGGGGGAGGTCCTCCTGTCACCTTTACCAATCTCACAAGCCCGTCTTGTGGGTACAAGGGAGAGAGCCTTCTCCTTGGTGCCTCCCCGACTTTGGAACTCTTTACCTGGAGAGATCAGGAAAGCCCCTTCACTAGAAACATTTGAAAAGAACCTTAAAACCTGGCTCTTCCGCTGCGCCTTTGGTGAGTAGGTGCACACCATGACATTTTGCACCCCTCAACGTTTTTCTGCTACTGGAGCTTGCGCCCCCCAAATGGGAAGTTCAACCTCATAAATCTATGTGTTTTATGAGTTCCCCGTAAATGTCTTGCTCCTATTTTATCTCATCACAGTTTTTAAAATTGTTTTATCCTGTACATGTGGCCCGCCCACTGTTATAGTTATTGTGATAGTGTTTATTAGAATGTTATTTTATGACTTTTTCTTTTCTTCTTCTTATTAATGTATTCTGGTGATGTTGTTGTTGTTTGTTGTTTTGATTTTATTGCTGTAATATGTTTTCCGGGCTTGGCCACTCCGAGTCCCCACCGG